TGTGTTTGATGATTCATAGTAGCTCTGTGTCTGTGTGTCTGTTTTGAGTTGAATATTTGGAAGATTCAGTTCCGAACCAAATTCCATAACCAGATCCTGGTCAGTCTGTTCGTTCCGGTCGCGACCCGGTGCGAGCGGGATCCGTCCCGGATCGGGTCGGGTCGTGACACACACAAAGTTCATTCTACTTCCTACGTAATAACATGTATTTAAACCAAAATAAATAACTTTTTTAGGAGTTATTTTAAGTCAAATTTAAAAATTGTTTTTAGCATAAAATATATATTATCATTCTTTATCTATACTAATTTTTTTTAATAATTTTTGGGCACCGGTATAAATACTTAAGAAATTGACACATGTCGGTACAAGGGGAGATTTTTAGACCGTTAGGTGACTGTTTTGCAAACTGATTTCATCATAATTTTCTAAATAAAATATGTTATTTCATGGATATTTTTCTATAATTTTTAATACCCCAAAAATTTTATATAATTTTTATACTTAAAATTAATTATATTATATAATTATATATTATTATTATATTATTATTATATTATTATTATTTTAGAAAATATCCTAAATCACTAGCAGTTAAAAGCTTTTTAAATCTTTTTTTCCCTATTTATTTTCGGCTAAGAGAGGCTTGGGTGAGGGAATTAAGAGAGAAAGATATGAGAGAGAAAAGCAAGCATAGGATTTGGAGGTCACGAAGCAATTTTTTTCAGTTGAGTAAGAGCATAACTTTTGGTATGTGATAGATCTAATCAATATATTAAATTTTTACTTGTTAAATTGAAACATATAAATTTTGAAGTAAATTCATAATATACAAATTTAATAGATTTCCTTGTATAAATGCATATGATATTGACTTACATTGTATATATATATATATATATATATATATATAACAGTCGCATGTATGCAAGGAAGACTAGCCATTAATACTATACTGAATACAGGTTGACTCTTAAAATATAATACATTGCATATGCGGGTGGATTGATAAGCTTTTCTTTAAATAAAAGGTTGGTAGTGTAATCTTAATTATAGCATATAACTGATTGACTGAATTGCGTCTATTAGTACAAGTTAATGACTCTTAAGTTATTATTGAAAGCCACCTATGAAAATAAATTATTAATAGAAAAAAATGAAGATAAAATAAGATTGATAGATTGATGTGATGTCATACAGATTTATGTGACTTACTAATTGAGAGTCATAACGAGCTAGAAATTGGTTGGGAGTTATAAGGACTTGAAGTGGCTGATTCACACGATTCAATAGGAGTTATAAGGAGTATATTAAATGAGAGTTATAAGAGACACTGATTGAGAGTGTGTAGGAGTAAGATACTCTTAAGATACACTCATTAAATATCTGAATGCTGATACCGACACTACTACGAACACTATACTGATATTGTAACTGACACTAATATTATTTACTATCATGAATACTATTTAACATTATTTAACATGATACTAATATTATTATTGACATTAGTAATATTAACTGTTATTACTACTATGATTGATGATGTAATGGATTGAGATGTGATTAACTATAGAAAGATAAATTGATGTAATGATCAGTATAGATATTGATGTATATATTTATTTATATGATTTATAATATATTATTCTCTTGTATCTTGCATTGATTTTAGTTGTAAGATTTTAATTACTTATTGGAATATATGCTCATTACATGATTTTACATGTTTTTAGGAAAGGGTAAAGATCCTATGATATAAGACTCCGGACAAAATAAAAATGTAATCATTTTTTTTTTTTGTTAATTGATAAGCTCTAGTTAAATAGTTAAAATGAAATAATGATGTAATTCTTCTAATATAGATCATTGATTTCAATTACTTGTTAGGTTATGTGATCATTACGTAATTTTACATAATTTCAAGAAAGGGTAAATATCATATGATATAAGGCTCCAAATAAGACAAAAATGCAATTATGTTTCTTTCCACTATTAATTGATAAGCTCTAGTTAAATTGTTAAAATGAAATATTGATGTAGTTCTTCTAATATAGATCCTATAGTGTGACTGTTACATACTGGACTATTATAATTTGATCGTCTTTAAGTTTATAGATGACATTTATACAATATTCAAATACTAGCGGGATCATTTCAACGGGACGTGACCCCATGGATTTTTTTTCCTTCATTTATTTTTTATGTAAAAATCTTGGTGTTTTGAATTTCTCTATTTGTGAGTTGGATACTAGTGTAGTGCTAAGACGTAAAATCCTTTTACTTTACCCCCACGAATACTTAGCCCAAAAAAGCTCATTAGCTCATCGACTTACAAAACCTTTATTGAGTTGAGCTTGAATTGGCTCACAAGTTGATTCAGCTCACTCACATATGTACTTCGTTTTATTTGGGGTTTAAAAAGGTACAAGTATGCTAGTTGGATCAAGCTAATGGAACTTTTTCTAGTGCAAATCTCTGTCCATTCATATTTTACCAATTTAAATCATCCAACATATAAAGGATATGATCGCAACCTAATGC